ACTGTATTTAAATTTGTTTTGTTTTGTTTTTTACTTGTTGCTTACAATATTTTCTGTTTAATTTGGGAGTTTTGAAACTTGGCTATGACATTCTTCTAAGTTTCCCTTCTGTAAATCTCTTTCAGTTGATGAATAGTAGATTTTTTCTATTTCTACTTTACTTTCTTGCTCTAGAACTTCAGGCAGGGCTTTTTTCCTCAATAATTTCTTATAATATTGTATCCAGATTCTTTTTTTTTAATCATAACTTTCTGGTAGTCTGTCAGTTCTTACATTGTCTCTGCACATCAGTTGTTTTTCTAATGAGGTATTTGAGATTCTCTTCTATTCTTTCTAGTTTTATTATTTCTTAGTGTCTTATAATGTCTTATAAACAATTAGATTTTAAGTTGTAGTCAGGGACTATGTTTCACTTCTTTGTATCCCCTACACCTAGAACATAGTAGGCATTTAACTTTATGGGAGATATATGGGTACATATGGTCCAGATCAGAGAATTTGCCAAACTTTCTTGGTTCTTGGCACTGTCAATGTCTCAGTAATTTTTTTATGGTACCCCCAGGCCAAAAGAAATACCTAATAGTTCTGTTTATTATATATTTAGGTCCAAACAACTTAATTAGTATTTGTGTCCTTTTAACTTAGTAACTGTTTGGAAAAAAAAACATAAATTTAAAGAAAAAAATGATATTTTTATTGCATTCTTAAATAACCACAGTTACTTGTGGTAGCTAGGTGGTGTAGTAGAGTGCTGAACTTGGAGTCAGGAAGACCTGAATTCAAATTCTGACTCAACCACTTACTAGCTGTGTGATTCTAGAAGTCACTTAACCTCTATTTTCCTCATCTGAAAAAAGGAGTAATAATAGTCCCTATCTCTCAAGGCTGTTGTGAGGATCAAATGAAATAATACTTGTAGAACACTGCAGACCTTTAAGTGTTGTATATAAATACTAAAAAATACCATAAAAATGGCTGCCATTGTTGGCTGTTGCTACTACTACTACTACTACTACTACTACTACTACTACTACTACTACTACTACTGTTGTTGTTCAGTCATTTTTCAGTGTTTTCTACTCTTCATGACTTCATCTGGGGTTTTCTTGGCAGCGATACTGGAGTGGTTTGCCATTTGCTTCTCCAGCTCATTTTACAGATGAAGAAACTTCAGCAAACAGAGGTTAAGTGACTTGCCCAAGGTCACATGGCTAGTAAGTGTCTGAAGCTGTATTTGAACTCAGATCTTCCTGATTCCAGGCCCAGCATTCTATCCATTGGGCCAATCTAGCTGTCATAGCTATTATGAATAGGCTGTGTGTGTGTGTGTGTGTGTGTGTGTGTGTGTGTGTGTGTGTGTGTGTGTGTGTGTACGTGTACCTGCCTGTTGGGCACGGCACAACTTCTCAAACCTTGGATTCAGATAGGATGCCACCTCATTCCCTGTTCCACATTGATTTTCATGCAGTATTTAAATTTTATCATAGCAACTGCCAAGACTCCAGCTCTGCAAAGATATGATAGTTGCAAACAAGAATGTTAAAAAAAAGTTACTTATGTAGCCAAAGTACAAGTAAATAAAAGCATAATGTGGTCCAATGTTGAAAATGTGAACTACCCCAATCTAAGAGATTGTGGGGTGCCTGACACACATGTGAGAATTGCTGTGTTTCACTCAAAAATTTAAGATAGCCGGTGACTTCTCTTTGAGTTCACCTGGGACTTGGGAGTCAAGAGAGCTAAACTTTAATCCTGACTGACAATTCCTTGCAGTGTGAATAGGGGCAAGTTATTTAACCATTTTTTATGCCTCAGTTTGCTAATGTATAAAATGGGACTAATATTTGTAGGCCTATAGTAAAATCCTACATCAGCATAATGACATAGGAGTTAGCCTGGCCTCGCAGGCTCTTGGAAGTATTATCCAGTTCTTTGATTATGGACCCAGTGATGGGCTTTCTGTTGGTCATCCAGGGACCAGCTAAGCTTAAGGAGATTCTTCATCAGAAAGTTGGCCAGAATGTAATTTTTTGGGGGGAGTGCTCCAGAAACTCATAAGGACCACCTTCTTTGTAACACAGAAAGGCCATGAACTGTGTCTGTGGAAGAGATACCCACAATCTTTGAGCCTATGATACTTTGCAGTACTGGGACAGAAAAACATTTCTAGTGGAAAAAGCTCTGGATTTGGACTTGGGCTGAGTTCCTACTCAGTCACTTATTTGCTCTAATCTTGGGGAAATGACAACCTCTGAGCCTGAGTTTCCTCATTTGTAAAACAGGAATAAAAATACCTGTCCTATCTACTTCACAAGGTTGTTGAGAATACAATCAAATAATGACATGAAAGTGCTTTACAACCATCAAAAACACTTGATGAATGAGCAACTATGTTTCATCATGTTCTCCCTTCCTAGCATTGCCCTTGACATTTTTTGCTTTGTGCAAGGCAATGAGATTTCCGTCTTTGATCACATGCCCCACCCCAGTCTTTATATCATTCTTTCCCTTTGTCTTTCTAATTGGGGAGATGCACTTGAGTGACCTTCTAAACCCCAAACCCCAACTCTTTCCCTGGATATGCCTCTGTTGAGTACTCACACACTTTTTGCCCGATAATCCCATTCTCTTATGGGGACAGAGATGCCAAGGAAATGGAAGACACTGTCTAATCTTCAGAAATTTATCATCCAGCTCAGGAAACGCACAAACAAATGTGTTCTAAATGCATCTTTCCACACGTATGTGAGCACACACATACACAGACCTCAGATACTTGCAAAGAAGTAGATCAAGTATAATTTGACATAGTAGTCACAAACTAGACTTTTCTGTTGTAGGTGGAGACAGTTAGTGTCTATGCTAGGTGTGGGAAGGAAGATCCGAATAGTTTCCTTTGAGGAAGAGGTGGTATATAGTGTAGGTAGAAAGAACATTGGATTGGGAATCAGGAGACCCAACCAGGTTCAAGTTGAGAAGACTTAGAAGGGACCATGAGGGCTATGTGCAAGTAATTGATAGGCTGTCACATCCTTTTTATTTTCAAAAATTTAGTATTTTATTTTTTTCTCAATTACATGTAAAAACAATTCTTAACATTTGTTTTTTAAAATTTTGAGTTTCAAATTCTCTCCTTACCTCCCCCCTCATTGAGAAGGCAAGCAATGTATTCCCTCTTTTTTAAAAACTTCTCTTATTTCCTTAAAATTTTAAATTAAAAAATCGTTTTACTATTATGAACTTGATAAACGTCAACAGATAGTTTCCCCTATGAAAAAGGATGGAAAAAGAGGGCTGCATATGAAACCATGTTCTATTATTATTCTTGTTATTATGTTATTATTGTTCACAAAAGGTAGAACTAGGAGCAGTGGGTAGAAATTGTAAAGAAGCTCATTTAGGCTAAAGAAAAAGTCCCTGACAACGAGAGCTTGGCCAGAGACTTCCCTTCTCACTGGATACAGGCAGGAAAAGACCTAGGAACAGCTGGGTTGGCTGTCAGCTCTGCTGTAGAGGGGCTTCTTCATTTAGTGGAGACTGGAGTAGACAGGTGACCTCTGAGGTCCCTTTAATTTAAGATTTAAGATGAAGATTAATTGAAGAATTTAAGATTCTGTGATTCAGAGTCTTCCACTAACAAGTCAGTTCACCATTTTGGAGGCAGTTGGGGTTAAGTGACTTGCCCTGAGTCACACAGCTAATAAGTGTCTAAGGCTGCATTTGAACTCAGGTCCTCCTGACTCCAGGGCTGGTGTCCTGTCCACTTTGGCACCTTGTTGTCCCCAGCTCACCATTTTGGACCTCAGTTCCTTTACTGTAAAGTGAGGTGGGGTTGGACTAGATGACCTCCAAGTTCACTTCCAGAAGGGAAATCCAAGGGGGATGATGGTGATCAGGGCCAAGACTACTAGTCTCAGGGTTATCACATGATAACTAGGGTTAAATACTTCAAAGCTCCCTTCTCTGTTCTTCTGTAGGGTGGGAAGGTGAATTTCCAAGGAAATGAAGTCCAAGTTGCCCAAGCAGACACACGGACCCAGTCGTTAAGCTTATTGGTCAGTCAGCCTGAGGACAGGGCTCAGTTATACAGTCTTTCCACATCTCTATTTAGCCCCTTTGAACAAACCAAGAGAAATGTTTGGAGGAGTGGGCATAATTGCTTTTCTACCTTTTTCTGAAAACATGACCAGGCAGATACAAGATCACAGGAGTCAGCTGGGCTTGGAGCCAACATACCCGTGTTTAGTCACTTTTCGTTGCAGATCTGAGTAAGGTGTCTTTGTCAGACTCCAGGTTTTCCTTGGTATATGGAGAAAATAAAGCATCCTTTGCATCCCTCCCCACCTCGGCTCCCATCTTAAAATTTAAAGTTGTTGGAAAAGATCTTAGAAATCATCTAATCAATCCCTCTTGTTTTATGGATGAGGAAACTGAGGTTCAGCAAGGTTAAGTAATTTGATCAAGGCCATCCATATTTTAGCAGAGCTGGGATTTGAACACAGGTCTTCCAACTCCGAATCCCCTGCTCTTTCTTTAAAACATGCTGCCACAGGGCTCAAATTCCTTCTTCCCCTGACCTCTGTTGCTTTTTGTTCCCCTCTCCCATTTCCTTTCTTCTTTCTCTGTCCACTTTCAAATGTAAAATTAAATTAGGCAATTGAAGGTCACAGAGAGGGGAGGGTGGGACTAAATTTTCAGGATTCTTGTCTGGGGAGAATGTGGTAGATGCTGATGGATGTAGCTTAGGATTTATTCTAGGGTTTCTCTCTGTTTAATAACTCTAAAGGCAATGAAAAATGAAGGTGGGAGCGGGAATCCCCTCCCCAGGACTAGCCTGCAAGTTCCTGTGAGAGGAGAGCCACATGTCAGAAACTTTTGGGTCCAGAGGAGAAAGTGCAGTCGGACCAGTGCCGGTGGTGGTTGGCCCCAAGCTCTGATGCTCCTTCAACCTCTTCATCAAGGACCAGCTTTCTCACCTCTTTCCCTGACTTCTTCCACAGGTCCACCAGCCTGCCATGACCCTACCTGTGCCACCTCCACCACGACGGGTGCGGCTCAAGCCCTGGCTGGTTGCCCAAGTGAACAGCTGCCAGTACCCAGGCCTTCAGTGGGTCAATGAGGAGCGCAAGCTCTTTTATATCCCCTGGCGCCATGCTACCAGGCATGGCCCTGCCCAGGACGAGGATGACAACACAATCTTCAAGGTATGCAGGGACCTCAAGAGACAGTGGAGAAGATTGATAGCAAGAGTTTTAGACCTTGGACCCTCACACGATATCCTTGCCTTGAAGAAAAACTGATGTAATCTCTGCAGGCTAGGCTTCATTGCCAACCCAACAGTTGGCTCCTACTCTTTATCATGGATTAAGACTTGGGCTTTTACCCAGTTTTCCCTTTTACACTTAGAGGATAAGGGGACAGACACATTGTTAGTGACAGTAATCCCTCATACTTGTATTTTGGCTCCACCTACCTATGACCCCTATGATTCCATTTGACAGAAATAGTTTCCACTTAGTGGAAAGTGTTAGATTTGGAAGAAGGAGAGCCCTGGGTTCAAATTCTGCCTGTGACACTTACTAAACTGTGTGATTCTGAGGCTTAGAGATGTTAAATGACTTCTCCATAGTCACATAGTTAGTATGTGCCAGAGGGAAGATTTGAACCCAGGTCTTCTCATTCTAAGTCCAATTGCTCTCTCTATTCTACTGCATTGCTTTTCATTTGATCCCCAATAACCATGTGGTAGGGAAGGATGGACATTGCTCTTCCTATTTTTATAGATGAGGAAACTGAGGAATAGAGAAGGTAAGACTTACCTAATTAATCTGTTAGTGGCAGAGCAGAGACTAGAAGCAAAAATGATTGTAGTTAAGAAAAGGGAGGGAAAAAAAGAAAAAAGAAAAAAGAAAAGGGAGGGAAAAAAAGAAAAAAGAAAAAAGAAAAGGGAGGAAAAGGTGTGTTTCTGAATCTGCAGCAGAGACAGAAGAAGAGATTTCAGTCAGTTTCTGCTTGGGGAAAGGAGTGAAGGGTTAAGGCAGAATTGGGGAAGGAGAGATGGTAAAGCTTTCTAAAATTCCTACCAGCCCAGCCTTTCTTCTTTCAGGTTCTGGGCACCTACCTGTTGGCATGTCTGCCTGGTGCCTTCTTACCTATCTCTCCTGACACCCCTGTTCTCTCTAAAGCTTCAAGTACTCATTCAGAAACTTAAGAGTAGGGTGGGATCTGTCTTGGCTTCAGTCTTACCCTTGGGGTCTGGGGTGGGGGGTTGGTGCACTAGCCTCAAGGTGACCTCTGGACTCTTCCCATCCATTCTCCTCACCCCTACAGGCCTGGGCCAAGGAGACAGGGAAGTACACGGAAGGCGTGGATGAGGCAGATCCTGCCAAGTGGAAGGCCAACCTTCGCTGTGCCCTCAACAAGAGCCGGGAGTTCCGCCTCCTTTATGATGGGCCCCGAGATATGCCACCCCAGCCATACAAGATCTACGAGGTCTGCGCCTCATGCCCTACTCCTGCAGGTACTTCCCCCTTGTCCCACGTGGGCCTGTGAGACCCTTAGGGATGAAATCTGGGGGTGGACTCTGGAGGATGGTCCAAGTGATGCAGCTCGGGCCTCATCCATTGCCATCTGCCTCTTTGGGTTGGAAGCAGCCCTGGTTCCTGATTGCCTGCCTCTGGTTGCCTTTCTCCTCGGGTAGATAGTGTGGGAGGATGAAAAGTGGTACAAGGGAGTATAGGGTTTCAGATCCTGCCTCGGTGTGACCATGGGCAAATCCCTTAACCTCATTGAGCCTCAGTTTCTTCATCTGTAAAATGAGTGGGTTGGACAGGATGACCTGGGAGTTACAGCTCTAGACTTATGATTGACCCTCTGACCCATCAGGTAGGTACAAGAAGAATCACATTTGGCTCCGGGGTCCATTCCAGCTACAGGCTGTTTTGGTGTGATCTCTTGATTCAGATTGGACCTACAGGATGCTCCTGGGGGAAGAGGCTGGGACAGCAAGAGACCAGTTAGGGGACAGATTATTCCTGGGGTCTTCAGAGACAATATTCTCCTCCTCCATGAGGGAGTCTAGCAGACCAGGAACTGACTCCTATGCAGCTCCTTGCTAAGGCGACCCTGCTTGACCTGGGGTTGGCCATGTGGTTTGTGAATGCGGCAGTAAGTTCAGGACCCTCCCTGGGGAGAAGAGAAAAGGAGCAGGCTTCCATGATGATTTACTCTGAATGATACGCATGCATCTGTCTGCTCTTAGTGTGAGGCAGTCTCTTTGGGGTTTTCAGTGTTAGGGCAGTGTCAGGTAGTGTCAGTCTCCTCTGTGGTCTCAGTTTGCTTGGTTGTCATCCCAATGGAACTTCTGAGCTCCTGGACATCACTTCCTCCCATGCTGCCCAGGTTCCCTCTCCTTTCCTTTTTTCTTTCCTTCAGAGTCCCTGCCTGGTGAAGAAGAAGATGAGGAGGATGAGGAGGTGAGTTCTGAAATAGAACCAGGTTGAGGTGGGGAGTGGGGTGCCTCTAAACTCTGTCATCTGCAGATGTGAGTGCTTCTTAGGAAGTTGTCTCTCACCCTTTTCTCCAAGATTCCACATTCAACAAATATTAAGCATGAGGCATTTCCAAATGTCATGATGGACATTAGGGATAAGACCCTGTTTTCAAGGTACTTACAATCTATAAGGAAGAAAAGACAAGTCCACAGTAATAACTGCTAGCATTTATATTGCTTCAGAATTTGCAAAGCACTTTACATGTTACCTCATTTGTTCCACACAATGACCCTATGAGGTAGGTGCTATTGTCATCCCCATTTTGCAGATTGATTCTAAGAGAGCTTATGTGACTTGTGCAGCACCATACAGCTAATCAGTGTCTAAGGTGGAACCTGAACTCGGGTTTTCCTGACTCCAAGTGCATTGTTCTCTCCACTCTGCCACCCAGCTACTGAATAACTATAATATAAAGGAGAACGTGACAATTGCCTTGGCAAAGTGTTGTGAGAAATCTGATGGAAGGGAAAGATACCATCCATGCCCCCTATCCATACAGATTACTCCAGGAGTTTCATCTCCAGCCCTGACTTCTCTTCTGAGCCACAGACCTCAGTCTCCACTTGGATGTCCCACTGATGTCTCAGGCTTAACTTGTCCCCAGCCAGTCTCATTACTTTCTCCATGAGCCAGTTCTTTTTTTTTTTTGTCTTCACTATTTCAGGGGTACTGCTGTTCTTTCTGTCTCTCATGTCCAAAACCTTAGTGATGTTGCATTTTCCTTTTCCTCGTCTCACAATAAAACCAACTGGTTACAGAGTCCTATTGATTCTATGTTTCTGTCTCTTATATCCATCTCGTTCCTACTACATTCCTCATTCCTACTACATACTAACATCCCAGTGCTTCCATGGTTTCAATAATCTACTAACAGGTCTTCTCATTTTTATAGCCTGTCCATCCCTATCCTGACCCCAATCTATCCTTACGTATAAATCTGACTTCATTCCTCTGTTCTGTGAAATATCTTCAGTGGCTCCTAATTGCCTGCCAGGTAAATAAAGTTTAAGCTGTTTGTCTAGCATTCAAGGCCCTCCACATTCTTCTGCCACCTTAGTTTTCCAGCCTTTTTCTCACAGTAGGTCCCTCCATATATCTTGTGGTCCAATCAAACTTAACCGATCCCCGTCTCCTGTACTTTCTTCCCTCAGCGCCTTTGCTTCTGCTGTTCCCTATACCTGGAATGCCTTTTCTTTTGATAAATTCCTACTCATCCTTTAAACGCCCCCTTCAAACAGTACATCAGTGTATCAAGTGCTTACTGTATGCTGTGCCCTGTGCTAAGTGCTGGAAACACTAACTTCATGGTTTATATTCTAACTCAAGTGCCATCTTGTCCAAAAGCTTTCTCTGAAAGCCCACCCAGGGGGAAAATGACCCTTTCTTTTTCCCTGAAAGCTCACATGACATACATTAGGAGAAATGGAGGGGAAGGGGAAGAGAAAGTGCCACTGTATATTATAATTACCTGTATATTTTCCATGACCTCCCTCCTCCCCTCTCTCTCACGATCCATAAAGGTAGGGACCATGTCTTAAATAAAATTAATCACCTTCAGAACCTGGCGCAATTCTGTGCACACTCTGTGCTTGCAACATGGAAGCTATGAAGGCATTTGCAAAGCTAGAATGAGAACAGCCCCAGGAGAGTACTGAGCTATGGCTGGAGTCCATGAAGGCATGAAAGATAAAGCTAGGACAGGAGTCTGGTGCCAGGTGGTGTAGTACTTGGAATGCTAGCAGAGGTCTGCACTTCATTTCGTAGGTGATGTAGAGCCATTAAAGGTTTTCCTTCATAGAGGGATGCATTCCCCATCTTGGGGGCTGTTCTAACTCCAAGGATTCTTCCTACTGATGCTTCTGGTTTGTGTGGTCTTTTTCCTTTCCAAAGGGGCTTCCTGTGTACAACAATCTCGTGGGATAAAATTATACTCATTAGATAAATGAGGTTGAGTGATTTGCCCATGATCACTTGACAGATCTGGCATCCAAATCTAGGTCTCCTGACTGCTAGTGCAGGCCTAAGGCTGAAGGCAGGGTTGGTTACTTTGTGTTCCATATGTATTATCTCAGCATTTGTATCCTATTATCACAATAACAATGATTAATTTTTCCTTCTCTCTCTCCACTAGCTACAAAGGATGTTGCCAACTCTGAGCATCACAGGTGGGCGATGGGGGCTTGGTGTGCTGTGGGCAGGTTGGGGAGGGGGGCTGGGAGGAGGTCTGAGTTCTGGAGCGGGTGGCAGACACTGGGGTCTGGGGTTTTCTTGGGAGGGCTCCTGGGGAGAGGAGTTAATGACTGCTTATTTTTGGGGGGCTACAGAACCACAACCTGCCCCTTCCATGGTCCCCTATACTTTGCCGAAGGAAGAACAGAAGTGGCCAGCCCCCAGTCTTCAGCCACCTCTTGGGCTGGGACCCTCCCCTCCTGAGCCCACCATCCTGGCCCCTGCACCCTGCCCCTCTGCTACTTTTGGGGAACTGATCCCTGAAGTCCTTCCAGCCTTGGACCCTGGGCCTCTAGCTGCCAGCTTGGCTCCCCCTCCAGAACAGCTGCCTCCCGATCTGCTCATAAATCCCCACATGCTGCCATGTAAGGACCTCTTAGCCGGGGATGGGGAGGGTTGAGAGAAGCAGCTGGAAATGAGGAAGGAATAGAAGACAGCTCGAGGTGGCTAGACTAAATGAGGGCTTCTTCCCTTGAGAGATTATGTGACTCTTAGGTATCAGTGTGAGCAAGGTCCTTGGAAACAGAGGGCCAGAGCATCCTCTCCAACAAGTCAGGTCAGTAAGCATTTGTGAAATGCCTACTCGGTGACAGGCACTGTGCTAAGCACTAGCTGAAGATGGTCCCTGCTCTCAGGGAGCTCACAGTCTAATGGAGGAGATAGCATGCAAACAACCATGTACTACAGAATATAAGCTGCTTAAGTTGGAAATCATCTCAGGGGGAACTAAGCACTTGTGTATTAAGAAGGATCAAGGGGCACAGTGTGGGACCGAGGTTGGGAGTGTTGGTCCAAGGAGATTATTAGGGAAAGGAAAAACTAAGTTGAGAGGGAGGGGGTGTGCCTAAGACACACTTGAGGTGATCTTACCTGTGGAGGGAGCTGGGATCAAGGCACAGTGGGAGCTCATATGGGACTTGGGTGTTGGGTTGGTCGGGTTGTCCCCTTCCACAGTGACCGACCTGGAGATCAAGTTCCAGTACCGAGGCCAGCCACCCTATTCCCTCACCATCAGCAACCCCCAGGGTTGCCGCCTCTTCTACAGCCAGCTGGAGGCTACCCAGGAGCAAGTGGAACTCTTTGGCCCGGTGAGCCTGGAGCAGGTGCGTTTTCCTGGTCCAGAGGGTATCCCTAGCGAGAAGCAGCGCTTCTATACCCACCAGTTACTAGATGTGCTGGACCGAGGACTCATCCTGCAACTCCAGGGCCAGGATCTCTATGCCATTCGTCTTTGCCAGTGCAAAGTGTTCTGGAGCGGACCTTGTGCCACACCCTCTGCCACGCCACGACCCATCCAAAGAGAGAAGAAGACAAAGCTTTTCAGTCTTGAGCAGTTCCTCAATGGTGAGGCCAGCTCTCTGGCTTTGCTTTTCTCTAGAGTTTCTTTCAACCCCCCATCTGCTCCTAAAATCTGGTGCCGTCCTCTGACTTTCATCACAAGTGTTTGCTCCCCTACTGACCATTCTGGGGGTTGCAGGATGGGTGCCAGGCTTAAGACTGGATCTTACTAACTGTGGTCTCTTGGTTCCATTCTCTACCCCAGAGCTGATCCTATTTCAAAAGGGCCAGACCACAACTCCACCAGCCTTTGAGATTTTCTTTTGCTTTGGGGAGGAGTGGCCAGACAGAAAACCTAAGGAGAAGAAACTCATTACTGTGCAGGTATGTATTGAACAAATAGGTCCAATGACTTCATAGCCTGACCCCTTCCTCATTACTTCCCTCTATTCCAGGCATACTAGCCTAATCCCACGAAGCTCCATCTCCCATCTCTCTATGCCTTCCATATCTAAAATGTTCTCCTTCTCATCCTCTCATGGATCCCCAGCTACCTTTAAGACTCAGCTCAAGTATCACCTCCTCCAGGAGGCCTTTTCTAATCTCCACAGCTGCTGGTGCCTTCTGTCTAAGGCTCCCCTCCATCTACTCCATCTTCTCCTGATTGGTGTGCAGGTTTATGTGTGTTCTCTCTTATTAGAATGTAGCCTACGGAAGGGAATGTTTTTGCTTTTTTTTTGTATCCCCAGTACTTAGCACAGGGCCTAGCACATGAGGGCTTACTAAATGCTTCTTGATTGATAGGGCTGCAGTTTCCTCATCAGTAAAATAAACAAATTGGATCACTCTTGAGATCTCTTGCAGCACAGAATCCTGTGTTCTCTCCCCTGCCTCAACTTTTGCTTCAAAGATCATCGGGGGTGTGGGTGTTGGTGATGGTAGCCAGTCAAAGTATTCCTATCTCCTTCCCTATCCCTCTCCTCCAGGTCGTGCCAGTAGCAGCTCGGCTTCTACTAGAGATGTTCTCAGGGGAGCTTTCCTGGTCAGCTGACAGCATCCGGCTGCAAATCTCAAACCCAGACCTGAAGGACAGAATGGTAGAGCAGTTTAAGGAGCTACATCACATTTGGCAGCTACAGCAGCGCCTGCCGCCTGTCCCCTCTGTGCCTCCTGGACAGGGCCTTCCTGCTGGCACAGGGCCCTGGCCCATTCACCAAGTTGGCATGCATCAGTGAAGCGGCTGCTCATCACCCATCCCTCACCAGCTTTTATACGAGAACTGACCTCAGTGTGCCAAAGACCCAGTGGCTACTTTTAGAGCCAGCATGGCCCAGGCCTCATCTGCTGAAGATGGCTTTGTGCTCAGGGGGAGAAGGGTTAGGATGGCGGGTCCCTGGGTTCTCCTTACCAGCAGGAGCTTGTAGAGAAGATGATGCCCTGCTTTGGGCTGCCAGAGCTTTATCAAGCTGCATTAGGAGGAACTCAGCTAACACCTGATATGGAAGGCTTGGAGCAGGGGATTTCTGGGACCTTGAGGAAAAGGCAGTGCTTTCCAAATAGGAAGAATGCTTTTTAATTCTTCCTTTCAGTGGAAGGAAAAAAAGTGCTGCAGCCAGGCAGCCCTTAATAGAGGACAATAGCAGCTCACAGGGGCTGGAAGATCTATCTCAGCAGATGGCTCATCGACATCTACAGCTGTTTTCCTTATTCCTAAAGAACAGGCGTATAAAGACACTTGTTTCCCAAAGAAGCCACAGTTTAAGGTGGTAGCTACTCCCACTTTTGAGGGCATAGCAAACAGCTAGAGTAGGAAATGGGATTTTGTAATGTAATTTTAAATTGCTGTGAGGGTGAATTATGGCTGATAAGCCATATCGACATTAAAAGATAACAAATTTATCGGCTTGTCTGAATTGCTCTTACCTGTTTCTAGTATCATCCTACCCCACCCCCATCTGATGTTAACCAGGGACAGGATGTTTTGCTTCAGTTGGCTGATCTTGAAAGCAGTCCTGCTTTCCAACCAAACGTTGGTGAAAGACTACTTAGGGTTCCTTACCTAATTACCACCCCAGTAATATCATATCAGTCACACTCACAGGGATGGTCACAACGTTGATCTTTTCACCACCCTCAGATGTTCCATCTCCACAACTCTGGACGTCACCTCCACTCTTTTCTACTTCTCCCTGTACCTCCACCCTTCCTAACCCTGTTTTCTATCCTTTGTAACTTCGAGCCACTGCACGCCTTCCTCGATTTCCCAGGCTGTAACCCTGCTTTAGATTCACTTTCCTCTCTTGCAAATCCACTCTTTGGAATCCCTTGTCTCCTTGTTCTTCTGACATTCATCTGTTTCACAGCTATAATCCTATGCCTTTTCTGCTCTTGCTTGAGTGCTACTGAATGCAGCTAGAGGATGAGCTGATCGGGTCTTTGTCTAAAAGTTTCCACGGCTCCCTTATTATCCTTGGGATAAAACATATACTTGTTTGACATTTACATCTTTTTACAACCTGGCTCCAACCTTTCTTTCTAGGCTAGTCTGCACATTAAATTCCAGCCAGGCTAGCCCATTTGCTGTTGTTGCTCATACAAATTCCATCTGGACTCTGCACTCATGCACGGGGTATCCTCCATGCCAGAGATGCTCTCCCTTCTCACTTTTGCACTTGGACGTCCTTTGTAGGCCCAGCTCAAGGGTTGTCTCCCTCAAGAGGCCTCTTCTGATTCCTATCCACCAGGCAAGCACCCTTACTCTGTCTTTCTCTCGTTCGTTGGTGGATTGCTAGATTGAAGGTAATCTGAAGAGAGCACTAATGTGGGGAAAGCAGGGGAGCTCATATTTATTCTATTGTGCCTATTTCATTAGTAAAAGAATCCTCACCACAAATGGTTCTAATATCCTGTCATTCTCATAGATAAGAATGTACAGTTCACCCTATTTTCAGTTCTGTTGTAGCTCGTTTCAGATGTGTCCGACTCTCCCTGACCCCATTTGGGGTTTTCTTGGCAAACATACTAGAATGGTTTGCCATTTCCTTCTCCATCTCATTTTACAGATGAGGAAACTGAGGCAAACAGGGTTAAGTGACTTGCCCAGGGTCACACAGCTATTAAGTGTCTGGAGCCAGATTTGAACTCAGATCCTCTTGATTCCAGGGCTAGTACCCTATCTACTGTGCCACCTAACTACCCATTAATTTCGGTTAGTCTTCTATCTTCTCAGTGTGCACTGCATTGCTGTTGTATTAACAATTACTTTCAAAACTATAAATATTAATGTTCAGAGACATGGAATGATTTGTAGAAGCTCACAGTGCAAATTAAGCAGCTGAGACTTTTTTATACTATGTACTTTCTATATAGACTTCCATGGCTCCTCAATCATTTCCACCTAGTCCTTGCATTGATGTCTGTTATGGGGTTTTGCTTCTTAACATTTATGAGAACAAGTGGTGGGAAGGGCAATGGGGTCCTCTGATTACTAATACGCATTTTTCAAAATGATTTTCCCCTTCAGCCTTTCCTGCCTGTTGTAAATGCCCCATCACCCACACTAGATACACTCTGTATTTATTGACCTGGGAACATGTTGTCTCCCCTTAGTAGAATGCAAACTTCCTAAGAACAGGGTGCATATCAATTTTCTATTTGTATCCCTTGTGCCCAGCACACATAACAAATGCTCGTAGATATATGCCATAGTCGTAAAGATAAAGACTCCTCAGCTTCACTGCAACAGAAAGAGTTGGACTGGTATAGTTCAGCCCCACCTCTCACTGGAAAATTAACCAAACAACCTTTCTTACATTTTAATTGGAACCTATTTTGTCTGGTTTAGTATTTTCCCTTTCTAAAACAAATTTTCCCTTTCTAAAACAAAGGTCATAAAAGCCACTGGTACATCTTAAGTTGGAGATCTTTTTCCCTCTGGGATGCCAAAGCTAGCTTCCACCTGGGCAAGAGGTACTTGCTATTGTCCAAGACTAAAGCACAATTAGGGTGTACTCCCCCAAAATGGGTTAAGACTCTGTCAGAGAACAGAGATGGGTCTATTTTTTAAAGCGATTTCTTTCGAAGAACAAAAAAAGTGAAGAGAACTTTCTCTACAGAAAAGTTCAGCACTTAGCCTCCTGCCTATTAAAGAAAGAAGTGCTGTTCCCATAAATGAAGTCCCTGCTAGTGACACACAATTATCAGCACTGTTGCCTAGTCATATACTTGGGGCACAGTGCAGAACACAGTGGCACGTTAGCTGACCTAGCTGTGACACACTCATCAATTTCTCCCAAAGGGGTCACAATGGCCAGTGTAGACAGACCCACTTCACCAGTTAATTTCCTTCATGTTGCCTGTTAGTATTGAGCTCTTTAGATAGTGTTGTTGCCACTGCAGCTCTGGGAAATTCAGTCAGGATGTCTTTGAATAATTCCAAATACTTATCAGCTGAAACTGGGGAGTCAAGCAGAGATTTTCATCTCACAAGAAATGCCAGACTAGCAAATAGGTTAGGGTAGGGGTGTTTTCCCCATAACCCAGCATCAACAGCAGTGCTCACGGACTTTGAAGGTAGTCACTGACTAGACGTACAGGTCAGATGACAGGTGATAAGAGAAATGCAAAGGGATTACATAAGCCTTTCTCCAAAGACCAACCCTCATCCTTGAAAAATGCCTGGTATACAGTAGGAGCATAATAAATGCTAGCAGACTGAGAGGGGGAAATTAAGAAACTGATTACTAAAAAAGATGAAAAAGCATTTATTAAGTGCTTAGTGTACCAAGCACCGTGCTGAGTGATGGGGATATAAACAGAGGCAAGCAACATCCACGGCTCAGCCATCTCCAAGTTGTGCTGCCTGTGCTCCAGCTTGCACCTCCTTCCAGTGACCCTGGGCTCGGATCAGGGATGCTTTCACCTTATCTTGCCTGACACTACATCACTTTCTTGCCATCTCCAAAATGAAGGTGATCCTAAGAATCACAGGCACTCCTAACTACAGATATGTTGGCCATTACACATTAAACTACTTGTGTTTTATCAGTTGCTGTAGGTACCCCTCCCTCCATAAAGACCTCTAAGAAAATAAGAAATGCAACATAAGGATTTTAGACTTTAAGGAGAAAGTTGAAGGGCATTGGGACCACGTTCTTAAGAAAGATAAGAGAACTATCATAAGTCTGCAGCAACACCCTAGGCACAAGCTTGTCCTCCATCTGTAAAAAGACCAAAGTATTAATCTAGACCTTTTCAAAGCTAATTTGGGGGGGGGGGGTGGCAGAGAGTGAACAAATTAGGGGAAGAAAATGATCAAATAGTAGTAGTAGTTAAGACAGAGAAACGCAAATGAACATTTTTATTTTATTTTTTGTTGTTTTTTTTTCAGTTTATTTTTTGTCATTGTTGGTTTGTTCTCGAGATGGCTACAACACCAGACGGAACAATGCGCTCAAGTCCAACACCTGTGCAGGGCTACACTGCTCTGAAATGTTAAGATCTGCTTTTGGCTCCCCCCCATCAAATAATTTTCAAATCTTTGAATAAAATAGTTATTGGTCAGCCCCGTAAAACACACCTCTTTAAATTTCAACCCCCTTTTCCTCTTTCCCATATCTGGGAAAAAAAAAAGAAAAAAAAATACCTCAAAAAATTTTTTTAAAAAAACACCTAAAAAAGAGAAAATTTCTATACATATATATATAATATATATATATATATGACTCCCCCAGTTTTGGACTCTTTTCCACGAGGCTGACAACGACTGGATGAGCCAGATGCAAATAGACTTAGGGTCTGAATGGGGCCAGAGTTGGGGTGGGCTTGAATTTTGACGCTCCCATGCTCCCCTGACTTACTGGTGAACCACGTGTACAGGTCAGGACTAGCTCTAGCTCTTTTGCTCATTGTTCCTTGTCTAAACATCAAGTTTAAAGGGGGAAGAACTGGAGGGTGGGAGAAATTCTTACTCCACTCGGATCCCTGCCCCCAACAAAATGAAACAAAATACCCCCCCATCCCTCCCCCCCACCAAAACGCCTCCAAGATGTTGGGTTTTTTTTCCCTGCTTCCCTAGTGCAGCAATTTGGTTAATTCATTTCAACCCCCACATTTCCATAAGTAATTCCATTGTGTGGTTTTTGTTTCATTTCACAGAAAGTTTACTACTTTTAGTGTGGTGTTTCTGGGTTTTTTTGTTGCCAGGCAAATGTTTCTCTTCAGGTTTCCATTTAGCTTTTCCTTTTTTTTTTTTTTATTAAATATTTTTTCCCTTTCTAAAAATGAGTCCATCAGGAAACCAGCTTCCCTCCCACCATGCTGGACACGCTGCAGCCATCCTTTAAAAAAAAAATCACTCTGATTTGCCCTCTCACTCATAAACAGGAACTCCCCACAGGACTGCCCTGGGAGGCCAGAAGTCTCTCCCCGTTTGCTGTGACAGCTCTGGTGAAAGGGTGTGAAAGTCCCTCTGCCACAAGGAAGGGTTCTGATTGTGAGACACATTCTTGCTTTCGATTTTCCTGTCTTCTAATAAAAAGACATTCCTGGGAAAAGACAAAGAGGATAGCTGATTAGTAGTGCAGAGCCAACTTTTTAAAGAACTCAGCCACTAGGCAGAGCAGCCCTGAACTTCTCTGTACTAGGCTGTCTGGCTCAGGCTTCCATTCTGAGTTTAATCACTAAATCTGTGTGAAGCAGGAGGGTCTTCATCACTTAAAAACAATAAATGTCCATTCTGTGCTTAACAATGGATGCCACCTGAGGTGCCCAAGCCATTTAAGAACATAAATTGAAAAACAAACAAACCATCCTTATCCATGAGGAATTGCTGAATGTCCCTTTCAGGGGATGGTCACTCCCAGGCCATGGAATCCTGCCTACCCATTCAGAACATCCCC